TTCACTTACAAAGTTACGAACTTCCCGAAAACTCATATGCAATAAAAGGGCTATAATTAATAAGATTAAATCAATAGTTAGATTTATTGTATAGCGTTAGAAAATGCAACTAATCAAGTCCAGTTTTTGTGCAATCAAGATCTTATATATAGTAAATATCACTTTCGTTAACCTGTTGGGGCGCAAATTTTCAAGATACGAGACATAAAATATTATAGATGTCACTATAGTTGAGAACTTGTAAAGGTAATTGAGCATCTCCAACATAAAACATAAACATATTACGAAAGAATTGTTCGATTATTACTCGTTAGACTGAATCGTTATTGGTTACCTTTCCTAGTTAATGTGCAGTTATTAAACTAGCCACCTAGCAACAAATACCATAATAAATGGGTAGTTATATATAGTAGTCACCCACGAATAACTTTACATTAATTGGACGGCTATTTTTCTTGTCACTTATCGCCCATTAAATTGGCCAACAAAACTATTGAGCAAACCCATTAAAGAAGTCAACAAAATTACTGAGCTGCTATTAAGATAACCATATGTCAACAAATAAAGTAAGGAAATAAAGAACCCACACATTGGACTCCATTAAATAGTACGGTAGTTAGAGGTGAGAAGTAAGAAATAATATTGTTCAAGTCTTTAGTCCTTTGTTTATTTGATGTAGGACATCGCAGACAGCTTTTTCAAACTGAAGCATTACACAAGTATAGAATCTAGTATTGTGGTAGGTACTCACTCCGTCCGGTGAAGAGTGTACATTTGGCTTTAAAATTTGTCCACAAAAGAGTGTATTGCTCTGTTCTCAATGTAATTTGAAGTACAAAAAAATGTTTCTCTCTCATCGCACGGTTATCAAGACCAATAACGTTCTACACGTGGTCTCCTTAATTTTTACATGCACTTAACTCATTGGGGATTGGATAATTAAAGAGGAGAGAGATGGTGGCTTGCAACTGTTCAATACTACATTTTTTTACTCCACTCCATAATTTGTCGTAAAATTTCTATATGTACACTTTTCACCAGACGGATGGAGTGAGTGACTCAGGCCAAGTAGCCAGGCGGACGCCACATCACTTTGGGAGGCAGTGCCAAGGGAGGAGCTGTCCCGACACCTGCTTGATGAACCCCCCCGTCAAAACATAGATCCTTCTAGGGAGATACATAGGTATGTGTAGTATTCGACACCTAGTCGTGTGCCTTTGGTAGCCTTCCGTATATGGAAATGTCTCCTAGTGCTTCCACTTAGCCATAGTAGTTTGCTACTGCTCCAGATCACATGGATTGACTAGCATGTATCCTTCTTTACTCCTGTGTCTTTCTCTATGGAGAAATGTCACGCATTATTCCTTTAAGTCCTTATAATTTGGATCGGCGCGCCTTCATGGTCAAAGCCGAATAAGTGAAAGTTTTGCAGGAACGCACATGCCATCATCTAATATTCTAGCATATATATATACTACATCCTCTACAAAATTGCAGAATTTCGGCAATCCTCTATTGCCAAAAGAATCTAAAAGTATTGTAGAGCAATCCCTTATAGAATGGGAGGTGGCTACAAAATTAGTGCTATTTTCCTTGAAGAACATGATAAGGGGCTAGTTCCTGATTATAGTGCAATAAAACCTAGAGTTTTACAAGAAGATGAATCTTTTCCAATTCATAAAATTAACGAGTAAAGATATATATCCCCTATAGTACAGATATTTCAGTGCAACAATAGCTCGCTCATTTCTAAAATACAGCGATGCAAGTTTGTCGGCCCAATAAAACCAATGATTGCTTAGAATTCACTTACAAACTTACGAACTTCCCAAAAACTCATATGCAATAAAAGGCCTATAATAAGATTAAAGCAATAGTTAGATTTATTGTATAGCGTTAGAAAATGCAATTAATCAAGTCCAGTTTTTGTGCAATTAAGATCTTGTATATAGTAAATATCACTTTCGTTAACCACTTAGGGCACAAATTTTCAAGATACGAAACATAAAATATTATAGATGTCACTATAGTTGAGAACTTGTAAATGTAATTAAGCATCTGCCAACATAAAACATAAACATATTAAAAAAGTATTGTTGGATTATTATTAGTAAGACTGAATCGTTATTGGTTACCTTTCCTAGTTAATATGCAGTTTTTAAACCTAACCACCTAACAACAAATACCATAATAAATGGGTAGTTATATATAGTAGTCACCCACGAATAACTTTACATTAATTGGATGGCTATTTTTCTGGTTACTTATCACCCATTAAATCGGTCAACAAAATTATTGAGCAAACCCATTAAAGAAGTCAACAAAATTACTGAGCTGCTATTAAGATAGCCATATGTCAACTAATAAAGTTAGGAAATAAAGAAGCCACACATTGGACTCCATTAAATAGTGCGGTAGTTAGAGGTGAGAAGTGAGAAATCATATTGTTCAAGTCTTTAGTCCTTTGTTTACTTGATGTAGGACATCGCAGACAACTTTTTCAAACTGAAGCATTACGCAAGTATAGAATCTAGTATTGTGGTAGGTACTCACTCCGTCCGGTGAAGAGTGTACATTTGGCTTTAAAATTTGTCCACAAAAGAGTGTATTTCTCTCTTCTCAATGCACTTTAAAGTATAAAAAGATGTTTCTCTCTCATCACACGGTTATCAAGACCAATAATGTTCTACAGGTGGTCTCCTTCATTTTTACATGCACTTAAGTCATTGGGGATTGGATAATTAAAGAGGAGAGAGATGGTGGCTTGCAACTTTTCAATACAACATTTTTTTACTCCACTCCATAATTTGTCCTAAAATTTCTAAATGTACACTTTTCACGTGACGGAGGGAGTCAGTGACTCAGGCCAAGTAGCCAGGCGGATGCCACATCACTTTCGGAGGCAAGGCCAAGGGAGGAGCTGTCCCGACACCTGCTTCATGAACCCCCCGTCGAAACTTAGATCCTTCCGGGGAGATGGTCCACTTCCAGACGCCATATGATGACACCATGGAAGGTCCAATAAATTTCTAGCTTCATGTGAATTTTTGTGGATCTGAACAACATCATTTTTCATGTAGGCGGCCCTGCCTTTACGCCATCGGTATTAGGCCCTCTTTGTCCTTTAGCTGCATAGGGCCTAGGCACGGGGAAAAAGAACACACAAACAAGTTTTCCACACATTTTTTGCCATGATTTCATGGGGCCACGGTTTGGATCTTGAATCTCTAGTATTCAAACACTATAAATGCACTAAATTACCCGTGTATAGTAGATGAACCCCGAAAAGGATCGGACAATGTTAGGTAACAACCTCTGCCCAACAACTACTTCATAAACCTCACGCGTCCACTGACGAAACATAGATCTTTCCTCGTAGATGGTCCAGTTTGTAAGTTGTCTTCGGGAAGCCTTCTAACAAAAAAACTATACCAAATTCTCGATGGGCCTTATGTTGATATTTTTCCAGGTCCTGTGAAATTTGGGATTCATGTGACTATATGTGGATTTAAATGTCAGCATCCCCTATCTGCAACCTAGCCTTTGCCCCCTTTGGTCCGGGGCCCTCCCTATAGTTTTGGTGCACATGGTATATGCATGGGCCAAAGACCACACATAGGAGTCTGCCACCTATTTTTGTCGATGATTTCATGGGGCCACAGATTTCTGGCATTAAAACCTTTGAAATGCAGTAAATATCCTAAATATAGCCGACATACCCCCAAAATGACCAAAACCTGGAACATGTCATGTATTGGCTTCCGTTGAGTGCGGAAAAAGTTTCAAAGCTGATTTAGGTATTCACACGACACTTGCTTCACAAACCAGATGTGCCCCCTCTTGGAACGTAAACCTTCCTGGGAGATGTTCTAGTTTCTATGTGGTCTTTGAGAAAACTTTTGCGAAGTTCTCTAAAGTTTTGACAACGCCATCCACGGGCCATATTATGACACCATGCTTGGTCCAGTCAATTTTAGGCTTCGCGTGAATTTTTTGAATTTAAACCACAGCCTCCCTGTTTTGTCAACTGCATAGGCTTCGTCCCCGTTATCTAGCCATTCCTATACTTCCGCTGCACATGGCCAAGGAACGTCCCAAAGGCCACACGTAGGAGTTTCCACCCATTTCATTACATGGTTTCAGAGCAAGTATAATAAGATGATGTAAGCGAGTTGTAAGGTTTTAAATATTGTATTATTTCTTAGTTGGAGGAGAGAGAACGGAAGCAGTCTACAGCCGACTGTAGCACGAGCTTCAAGAAGTTTTGTGAGAGTGAAAGGTGAGCCATATGTTGACAAAGTAGTACTTTTTTATAGCCAACTATTATACGTGTTAGATATTACATTGGCTGTAAATGAAATGACAACATGTTATAGCCACCAGCTACCTATATTATTAATCATGCTCTCATGGGCCACAGTACTACACATCTTAAATTTCTGGCATTAAATATCCTGAAAATGCACTAAATGCCCCAAACATGGCCAGGACCTTCATTGTGTCATGTAATTGTATCTTTTGAAAGTAGAAAAAGTTTGACGGCAAGTGAGGGATGGGGCAGTTAACAAACCCGCTGTGTCCCCTCTTGAAACGTAGATCCTTCATGGGAGATGGTCCGATATTATAAGCTGTCTCCGGGCGACGTTGGTTTGTCCTTGTGGGGTCCCTCGCTCAGGTCTTTGCCGAGTTCATTTTTTGCGAAAATCAGTAATGTTTTTTACTTTGGTAACTTTTGTATCTTTGTGGAGTTGTTTTTCCCCTGCATTGGGCGAACAGTTCTCATAGCCCAGTTTTCCCTGACCAGTACTGGGAAAATATTGCTCGTTTTGTGGATCGCATTATTTAAACGTGTTCGTAATCGACCGAGCGCTAGAAAGCACACACACGACAAACCATTGATGTCCTTATATATACCACATGCCTCCTGGACTATGGATAGCACCCACACTACTAATCAACTGTTTTGTACAGCGTCCAGCGAAAGGCTGTAAAGAAGGCAAATGAACGCTTCAAGTACCCTGCGAAAGCGGTCACTGTCGGTTCGCACGAGGAGCAATGGAGCAGCGTCGGCTGTGGAAGGGAGGACGGCGGATGACGACGCTGAGTCGCTTGGGGAACCGGTCAGCCCCTCCGCCAGGCTCGTTGAGGAGTACTTCATCGTTGTCGTCATAGGCCTCGGGGCGCCCATTAACCAATCCAGCGGCCGCGCGGGCATCGGTGCGACGATTGCATGCTACCCACGCTTTCACAGCATCCAGGTACTGGTGCTCCCTTCCGTTCGAAAATACTTATCATCAAAATGGATAAAAAATGGATAAAAGAGGATGTATATGGATGTATTTCAGTTCTAGATACATTTTTCTTATCCATTTTGATGATAAGTATTTTCAGACGGAGGGAGTACAAGGTTACATACTATATGGAAGTTGTTTTGAAACAAGGAGAACCGTATCTCATCTCGCTCACTGGTGTAACTTACGTGCAGGCGACAGACAAGGACGGTACTCTACGGTGGGTGAGGACAACGGTTGACCTGGACTACCACATCATCTTCCCCATGCTGGACACGGCGGCCGTGTTAGTCAACCCAGACCAGGCTGTGGAAGATTACGTGGCGTCTCTGTCCACTAAACCCATGGATCATTCCCGACCTATGTGGGAGTTCCACATCCTCGACTTCCCGACCTCCGAGGCCACCGCAACAGCCGTGATCCGCGTGCACCACTCCCTCAGCGATGGCACCTCCCTGCTCATGCTCCTATTGTCGAGCACGCGCAGCGCCGCCGATCCTTCCAAGCCGCCAGCTTTGCCACCGTTGCCGGCACGCACCGGTGCTATATACGTGCGTCCACGACCGCCAATGTCTGCCGGCTCGCTGGCCTTCGCCTTGTGGCTTTGGTCCTTCGTCCTGCTCGCTTGGCACACCATGTGGGACGCTGCAATCTTTATCTCGACCATACTATTTCGGAAAGATACACAGACGCTATTCTCATGTACGGACCATGGGAACCGTCGCCCCAACCGCATCGTGCACCGAAGTCTTAGCCTTGATGACGTCAAGTTCGTCAAGGATGCCATGAACTGCGTAAGAGTTATTTAAATTTTGGAATCCCAATTTGTTACTGACGCACATAGATTCTCTTTTTTTTTTGCGGGTGACGCACATAGATTCTCTTGAAAGGCCGTACGAACCATAATTTGTATGGTGACTGAGCAAGTGAGTCTTGTTGCGATCTCCATACGTGCAATATCAGTGAGATTCCATCCCATAGTTTATTGGTAAAGAACTAGATCTATTAATATTTATTTTCTTTATTAGATTGAATAAGACATGATGTTTTTTATTTCAAATCCACGTTTGCAAGTGCCTAATTTTCTACTTATAGTTTATGTATGTTTTCCAAGACGATTACAAATTCTCTCGAAATTAAATGCAAACATTAGTAGTTCGTACTAATATTTGAACCTAGATGTCTTTGTTTTGTAACCATATTCTCGGTGGCTGTATTTCCCTCCATGTCGTGACTCGAATTTCTTTCTAGATAGCTATTCTTACTCTTATTGTGTAAGTCCACTAACCATCGATATAATTGGTATCAGTTATATAAGGTTGGCAACACAATATTTATTTCTCTCACTCGCTTTATCCCTCCTGCATTAATAAAATGTATATTAAAGACTTGAGATGGTTTCTCTATACTAATATTTTGTAAAGTACTATCTCTCTCGCCCGCACTTTCCTCCATTTTCGTATGAATTATCTCTCATTGTATATGTTGTTCTGCAATGACTTATACATTGCCATTTTTATAGTCAGAACATTATTGTGCTTTCCAGTATGATACATGTTTCACACAGAAATCACATTTCAATTCCTTTAACACGATGTCTTGCATGCATTAAAACCATTTCGCATGCACACATAGATTTTGATTCTTCAAAATATACCAAAACTCATGAACTAGTATAGACTTATTTTCCTGTATCATTGAACCCATTCATGTTGATAATCATGGGCATGCTTGGTTGTATAGTTAGAATTAGTACTTGACGTCACAATGATATGGAACAAAATATTATGTTGTTCCATATTTAGTATACATATAAATCTTTGTGGAATTCATTAGGTGCTTATGAAAACACCTTTTTTTTGAATTTTTCATTTTTTACTTTGTAGCCATCTTTCTCATTAGTTAGTATGTGTTGCATGGCATCCAACAAAAATAAATTGTTTTGCTTCTTTTCATTTCCGGGAATGTACAGGTTGTCCTACATTTAATCACATACAAATTAGACTACCTTTTAAGAAAAATATATTCTAAAGTTTCATTGAATTCGAAAATTCTTTTCTTAGTTCTGATTTTTTTAGTTAATTATATATTGTACAGCGATGTCTTTCTTGTTTAACTAAGCAGCCATACTGTCGGATAACTTCTTATGTTTGCATACACGTTAGTCCCTTCAAAAAAAATCAAACACGTTAGTTGTCTATCACATCATGAGTATTAGCACGTGTGTCAGGTTGAGTTTTTTTTCTCTCTAAGTATGAGTCGTCTCCTAATTCAGATGTACTCTTAAGTTTTGCCGATGTACGCACGCCTAACAGCATATGGACTCTTGACTTTCCGTCAACCGTGTTGCCATGATATGGCTGGCTTCTCTTGTGTCTCTTTTTAGATTATAGTAACCGGAACTTATTACGTGAGAGCACATACACGTTCGTGGCATGGTAAGTAAAGCTTGGACGTGCCTTTTTTATGCACAGGACCGTGATTCAACTTTGCCATCACAGATATATAATATACACGTGACAGACTTTCAAGGTGCAACACAATATCTATCTGTATGCAATATTTGTATGTAACATTATAGTTTTTCAATCTCAGCCGTTTACATGAAAAAATTGACAGTAGAAATAATTTAATCTGTGTGGACAACCGTGATGGCTTGTTTGACTTCTGTTTTAAATTGATGAAAGACGGAGAGAAAAAGATCGATGACCATGTCATTTCTTACTAAAAAATTGGTGGTACTCGCCACTTCCCATATGCCAGAATCTACAGAGTTAATAGTTGTAGGTATAGTAGCAAGCACATAAACACAAGTCGCTGGAGAGCTTGGTTGTTCATTATAATGTGAAAATGTTATTCACGACACAGGCACATACGAATACATATTCTGAAACTTAGAAAAAAGGATACACCTTTGCAGTTTTGAAAAATTATGAAACGAATCTTTGATATATATTTGGAACAAAACCTTAGCATGCTAACTTCCTATAAAACAATATAATCATTATTTTGCTGAAAAAACATATTTATTCGCGACCTGCATGAAAATCGCAAAATATATTCTATGGTTGAAGCAATAGAGCATGTACTGGAGCTCTCACTGCTGAGGGAATTGGTTGCAATTATTTCAATTGGATTTGGTTCTATGAAACATTAGTATTTGGTTTTAAAATGTGATATTTGAACATAGAATACATATAGTTTATTGTATATGGTTATTTTGTAGTTGCGGAATATTGATTTAATATAAGTACCATGCATGGTGGATGTTAAGGTGAGTCTTTCCTAATGCACGGTGGCAAGTTTAGTTAGCATAGTTACATCTTGAGAGTTGAGATAGTGGGTCATGCTACGATGGGTCTTTTCTCATGCCTGATGAGACTTTGAGTTCATGGTGAGAAAAATATATATAGTGGGGATCCCTTATTAGTTATATAGAATTAATTCAACCCAACATCACGAAATCACAATTGCTACACACATAAGTTCTTTCGTAGTAAGATGAGTTATTTAGGTTTAGAAGTTCCTAGACTGGAATATTTTGATCAACGTATTTGTTTCTCTTATGTCACATGGCCTCCAATATATTGTTCCGCATTGCCTAAAAATTGTTGTTGCTTTTATGTTTGTCACTACTAGAAGATACTAATTCATTTTGAAGGCTTCCACAGATTTTGTTTTCCCTTCTTGATTACCTGTTGCCCTCTTCCATGAAGTGTAACTCTGGTAATGATCTTTATGCTTGTTTGCTTGCACAGACAGTTAATGATGTGTTAGTTGGATGTACGGATGCTGCCCTATCACGATACTACTACCGGAAGTCGGGTGAGGAGATTATTACCAAACGCATTACCAAACGCTTGATACTAGTCTATTCCTAACTAATGTCACACTTCAATTTGACTCATTCCTTTTTAATCCTTCTCCATTTTAGGTGACAATAAAACTGGCAAGGAGATACGTCTACGATCGGTCCTTGTGGTTAATTTAAGGGCAACTACAGCCCTACACGTAAGTACTAGAAAAGAGAGACAACTACTGCCTCCATACATATATATTGGTATACGTACCTTGAGATTTAATTTTTCCATAGATAAGTACTGGCAATGATTTATGAGATGTATGCTATAACTATTATACAAATAAAATACTCGCTTTCAACTAAAAATTCCATGGAATAGTCTTTGTAGCATACACAGCATATATAGTTGTCATAACAAGTGGTTAAGGTAAACCTCAAAATACATATTAGGCCCTATACATAATTCACATGTTAGCTTGTGTTTTAAATACCATTCATACTATTATGGCCAGGAATGTGTTAGTATGATACAGTCTGCAAAGGGAAGTGATGTGAAATTGGGAAATCAACTTGGTTTCATCATCCTTCCAGTTCAGATAGCCATGCACCATGATCCACTCAATTTCATTCGCAAGGCTAAGAATACCGTGGATCGGAAGAAGAGCTCACTAGAAGTGGCATTCACACATGTTGCCGCAGAAGTCGTCCATAAAATATTTGGTCGAAAGGTACATATGAAAGAATTGATTATATTATTTTGAGTATAATATAAAAGAGTTGATTATATTATTTTGAGTATAATATATTTTATGTGTTGCAACTTGTGAAACAGGCAGGTGCTTATATCGTCGATCGTATGTTCTCCAATACAACTACGTTATTGTCAAACATGATAGGTCCAGTTGAACAGGTGGAGTTCTGTGGACACCCTGTTGTCTTTATTGCCCCTAGCCAGTACGGACTACCACAAGTAAGTTAGACAACACCGGAACTAAATAGATACAACAAATTAAATAAATGCAAACTATAATTTTATATATGCAGCCTGAACTATCAGAATCTAGATGATAACCCATGCAATGCTGTGATTATCAGTTGCAATATATTTCAATAAAATTTGGTTTATGAAATATTAATATTTGAATTAAAAATACGCAAACTAAAACTAAAAAATAATATTGCATTTGATTATTTTATATTTTACAAATATCTACGGGTATAAGTAGCAGAATATAGAGAAAAATATTTTCCATGCTTGTTCTGATTGGCCTTATATTAGGTGGCATGCACTGGTAGAAAAAGAGGCTTCCGTCCAGCCCCATTAGTCGCGAAACTGTAGGAACCGCGACTAATGAGGTCTTTAGTCGCGGTTCGGCAGACGAACCGCGACCAAAGGCCTGGGCCCAGGGCGCTCGGTGGCCAGCTGGTGCACGTGAGGGGCTTTAGTCGCGGTTGGCCAGGCCAACTGCGACTAAAGGTGCGCAAAGGCCTTTAGTCGCGGTTGTCCAGGCCAACCGCGACTAAAGCTCCTCCCCTATATATACCAGTTCAGCACACTCACTTAGCCATTTGGTGCCACTTCTCTTCACAAGCTTCACAAGGGGGTGTAGGTTTGCTTTTGGTTCCTCTTATGCACACAAGGTGTTTGATGAAATACCCTAAGAGGGTGAAACAAACATGATATGAAGTGTTGGAGCCACACTTGAGGTTCCTCATTTATTTTTTCCTCCTCGATCGCGGTTAGCAACTTGAACCTTTCATGCATGTGTGTCATTGATAAAATATGCATGTGTGCAGTTCATTGTTTAATTTATATTGTTTGTAGCTAGTTAGTTTAACAAATGCATGATGGTTAATTATATATTTTATATTATAATAATGCAGATGAATCGGCAATGGATGTACGGTAACCGACTCTCCGGCGAGTTCACTACGGGTTTGAAAGATTTCCTCGTAGTGGCTAATGCGAACAAGCAGGGGGGTTTTGTTATCTGTCCATGTGTTATCTGTAAGAATCAGAAGGGTTACTCTTCCTCAAGAGATGTTCACATGCATCTGCTTCGGCACGGTTTCATGCCAAGCTATAATTGTTGGACCAAGCATGGAGAAAGAGGGGTTATAATGGAAGAAGATGAAGAAGGGGATGATTTCATCGATGAAAGCTATCTTGCTCATTTCGGTGATACTTTCATGGAGGATGCTGAAGGTGAAGGGGAAGGTGAAGAAGAGGCACGTGATGATCCCGTTGAGGATCTTGGTCGGACCATTGCTGATGCACGGAGACGCTGCGAAACTGAAAAGGAGAGGGAGAATTTGGATCGCATGTTAGAGGATCACAGAAAGGCGCTGTACCCCGGATGCGATGATGGTCTGAAAAAGCTGGGCTGCACACTGGATTTGCTGAAATGGAAGGCAGAGGCAGGTGTAGCTGACTCGGCATTTGAAAACTTGCTGAAAATGTTGAAGAATATGTTTCCAAAGGATAACGAGTTGCCCGCCAGTACGTACGAAGCAAAGAAGGTTGTCTGCCCTCTAGGTTTAGAGGTTCTGAAGATACATGCATGCATCAACGACTGCATCCTCTACCGCGGTGAATACGAGAATTTGAATGAATGCCCGGTATGCACTGCATTGCGTTATAAGATCAGAGGCGATGACCCTGGTGACGATGTTGAGGGCCAGAAACCCAGGAAGAGGGTTCCCACCAAGGTGATGTGGTATGCTCCTATAATACCACGGTTGAAACGTCTGTTCAAGAACAAAGAGCATGCCAAGTTGTTGCGATGGCACAAAGAGGACCGTAAGTCGGACGGGGAGTTGAGACACACCGCAGATGGAACGCAATGGAGAAAGATCGACAGATGGTTCAAAGATTTTGCAGCTGACGCAAGGAACATAAGATTTGCTCTAAGTACGGATGGCATGAATCCTTTTGGCGAGCAGAGCTCCAGCCATAGCACCTGGCCCGTGACTCTATGCATCTACAACCTTCCTCCTTGGTTGTGCATGAAGCGGAAGTTCATTATGATGCCAGTGCTCATCCAAGGTCCGAAGCAACCCGGCAACGACATCGATGTGTACCTAAGGCCATTAGTTGATGAACTTTTACAGCTGTGGGGTGGTGTCCGTGTGTGGGATGAGCACAAACAAGAGGAATTTGACCTACGAGCGTTGCTTTTCGTAACCATCAATGATTGGCCTGCTCTTAGTAACCTTTCGGGACTGTCAAATAAGGGATACAATGCATGCACGCACTGCTTACATGAGACTGAAAGTGTACATTTGCCAAATTGTAAGAAGAACGTGTACCTTGGGCATCGTCGATTTCTTCCGAAAATTCATCCAGTAAGAAAGAAAGGCAAGCATTACAACGGCAAGGCAGATCACCGGCCGAAGCCTGCGGAACGCACTGGTGCTGAGGTATTTGATATGGTCAAGGATTTGAAAGTCATCTTTGGAAAGGGTCCTGGCGGACAATCAGTTCCGAAGGGAGCTGACGGGCACGCAGCCATGTGGAAGAAGAAATCTATATTCTGGGAGCTAGAATATTGGAAAGTCCTAGAAGTCCACTCTGCAATCGACGTGATGCACGTTACGAAGAATATTTGCGTGAACCTCCTAAGCTTCTTGGGCGTGTATGGGAAGACAAATGATACAAAGGAAGCACGGCAGGACCAGCAACGTTTGAAAGACCCTGATGACCGGCATCCAGAATGGTTTCAAGGTCGTGCCAGCTACGCTCTGACCAAAGAAGAGAAGGTCATCTTTTTTGAATGCCTGAGCAGTATGAAGGTCCCGTCTGGATCCTCGTCCAATATAAAGGGAATAATAAACATGGCGGAGAAAAAGTTCCAAAACCTGAAGTCTCACGACTGCCACGTGATTATGACGCAATTGCTTCCGATTGCTTTGAGGGGGCTCCTGCCGGAAAATGTTCGAGTAGCCATTGTGAAGCTATGTGCATTCCTCAATGCAATCTCTCAGAAGGTAATCAATCCAGAAGATCTACCACGGTTACAGAACGATGTGATCCAATGTCTTGTCAGTTTCGAGTTGGTGTTCCCGCCATCCTTCTTCAATATTATGACGCACCTCTTGGTTCACCTAGTCGAAGAGATTTTCATTCTCGGTCCTGTATTTCTACACAATATGTTCCCCTTCGAGAGGTTCATGGGAGTATTAAAGAAATATGTTCGTAACCGTGCTAGGCCAGAAGGAAGCATCGCCAAGGGCTATGGAAATGAGGAGGTAACTGAGTTTTGTGTTGACTTTGTTCCTGACCTTAAGCCGATTGGTCTTCCTCGATCGCGGCACGAGGGGAGACTAAGTGGAAAAGGCACGATCGGAAGGAAATCAATGATATGTATGGACGGCCATTCTCTGACTGAAGCACACCACACTGTACTGACCAATTCCAGCTTGGTGGCTCCGTACTTTGAGAAACACAAGAATATTTTACGCTCGGACAACCCGGGGAAGCCTGAATCCTGGATTAGGAAGGCCCACATGGAGACTTTCGGCAGTTGGTTGAAAAAACATTTAATGAATGACAATGATGTTGTAGATCAGCTGTACATGTTGGCCAAGACACCATCTTCGACTATAACGACTTTCCAAGGGTACGAGATAAATGGGAATACATTTTACACGATCGCCCAAGATAAAAAGAGCACCAACCAAAACAGTGGTGTCCGCTTTGATGCAGCAACCGAGAATGGGCAAAAGGTCACATATTATGGTTACATAGAGGAGATATGGGAACTTGACTATGGACCCTCCTTTAAGGTCCCTTTGTTCCGGTGCAAATTGTTCAAGCTAACAGGAGGTGGGGTAAAGGTGGACCAGCAATACGGAATGACAATGGTGGATTTCAACAATCTTGGTTACCTTGACGAACCATTCGTCCTAGCGAAAGATGTCGCTCAGGTTTTCTATGTGAAGGACATGAGTAGCAAACCGAGGAAACGGAAAGATAAGAAAACGATCAGTGCATCATGCGATGATCCAAAGCGCCACATTGTTCTTTCAGGGAAAAGAAACATCGTGGGAGTGGAGGACAAGACAGACATGTCAGAAGATTATAATATGTTTGCTGAAATTCCGCCCTTCAAAGTGAACACCGACCCAAGCATTAAGTTAAATGATGAGGATGCTCCATGGATACGGCACAATCGTAAGCAAGCAGGGACACAAGGGAAGAAATGATGTGTAATAATTTATTGTATCAAACCTTTTGTCAAACCTTCAAGGGGTTTTAAAATGAATTAGTTTTATTTTTCTGATTTTTTTTGATATATAATTGTATTTTTAAGATTTTAAAATGAATTAGTTTTATTTTTCTGATTTTAAAAGGAAAAAGGAAATGGATGTGATGAAGAAAACCATGAGTGTACTAGTAGCCGAAAGAGATGCAGCTCGGGTGCAGCATGAAGATCATCCAGCGGATCTCGGAAGCCAGCAGCGGAGAAGCAGCGTGGCTTCCACGGAGGCCCCACCGGCTGGTGCAGATGCACCGACGATCGAAATTACTGCACCGGAGCCTCTGGTGGTCCAAATTACTGCACCGGAGCCTCTGGTGGTCGAAATTACTTCACCGGAGCATCCTCGCTACCCCGTGGACGATATAAAGGAGATGAAAGAATGTCATCTGTATTATCCTATCGGGAACATGTCCATGAAGGTAGCCATCGGCAGTGCTTTACCATGTTTACCTGGAGCACTCCACCACAACAACCCCATTCAAGATGGCTATGCTCGTGTCACGGTGGAGGACATAGTCCAAGGGTTTGAGGACCTGGAGATTGACATTGCTACACCTGAAGGAGAGAAAAGACTTGGAGATGTCAAGCGCCATTTCATTCTATGGCAAAAGAAGTTTATCAAGTTTCCAGGCGAGGCGCCAAGGACAACAAGTCCACCCCCCTACGGTGGTGGTGGTGGCGGTGGCGGTGGTGGTGGTGGTGGTGGTGGTGGTGGTGG